GGTCCCCCCAACAATGTTATCTCAGGAGCTTCATTGAAACCAACTTTCTCTTCGTATCTACAAGTTCTATTTGGTCGTCGATTATGGTGGAGTATACAAGTTTGCCTTATTGGCACCATTTTCACTTTTGGGATTTTTGTGTATGTTTGTGTTAACTCTCCGCCGACGTCGTGCCATTGTGGAGCTGCTAAAGAGGCCTATTCAAATGATGGTGGGAAAAAGTGGGTTTCCAAGACTGTCTCAATAAATTGCTGTTGAAGTAACTTTCCTATCGTCTAAGAAGCATTTCACGCTTCACCTGTTGCCACTCAACGGTTGAGCAAACATTTCGGTTTGAAGTGGGCCACCTTTTTTGTCTTCGTGTCTTTGGTGTCCTGCTCTGACGACATACGCAAGGATGGATCGGGGTCGAAGGACCTATCCGCACAAATCTACAATCACAGCTCCAAAGCAACAGCCCCTCCTTCCGCCGAAGCCTGCGGTAGAACCAACTTACGAATCTCTTCCACTCGCCTCTTCAAACGAAATGATGGAAATTGTCCGAGTGCAATTTGCTACTACTACTAATACTACTACTGATTGAAATAGCAAAAATGTGAATAATTTGGTGTTGAAGATGAGAAAATGTGCAGGGCTAATTGTCTGTATGTGTGTGTGTGTGTGTTGGTATTAATGGCGGATAAAAGGCACTCGACAACCGATCCATCCTGCCGAGGGGCTGGTTCAAGAAGTGGCCTTCCACGCCGGACCTGGCTCGACCGAGAGCCGACCACAATTCATACCATCCGTCCCGGTCCGATGGAGGCGCCTCGGAGTGCAGGCACAACTCGGCCCGCCCGTTTCAGACTTCTCCGAGAGGTCAGGTCACTCGGAGCGCAATATTTCGCGGCCCCAATCGGGCGAATAGGCCGGACCTGCCGAAGCACAGCCTCGCTGCCAGAACAAAACAAGCACCCATACACACACACACACAAAAACACACATAGACTCGGACTACAAGTGCAGGGTTTAAGAGAGAAGGGCACGAGCGAGTGCGCAGCCTCGACAACTCAACCGCCCAACCTGACCTCGAGGCGAAAGTGAATTCGATGCAAACAATATCATTAATACACACTTGCATCATAGCAGGTAGTAATTCCGGCAATCTTCACACATGACCGGACACACGCACAACGACGGAGGGACGGACGGATGGACGGGTGAATGTGTGATTCCAGATACGGACAGACAAACGAGTAGACATGGAGACCGACCAGCAAGTCGTGGTTCCTACATCCGAAGCATGACAGAATTGGTGAGCTCCACTCAAACATTGTGTAGAATTGTGTGAGTCATTGCGATGGCAACGTATCATTCTGCCGATTCGGCCGCCGGCTGTTTGCCTCAACTTGCCAGTCTCCGACAGATTACGTGAATCCACAGCCCAGTGCAAGTGTGCGCACTGTCCGAGGGCGTGTTGTGCCAGTTTTAGGGGACACAACTCGACACTGGCAAGTCACCGCTGCCCAGTCGAGGCCATCTGCCTCGTGGAGTTCGGCCGAACCCGGCGGATTCACACAAACTCACTCCAGCTCGGATTTCCTTTTACACACACACACACACATCTACCCCTTCGAGCATCCTCCGAAACCCAATCAACGGCTCGATCGATGGCCGAGATTGTAGTCTCCCCTTGGCGCCCCATTGAAGCACACCTTTATTGTATACACGAGTACTTTTCGGGGCGAATACTACTCATGGCGGAAATGAGTAGTCGATAAATGCATTGAAAAACATATATACATGCTCAATCGGCAATCACACTGTAAAGTGTGATTTGGAAGAGGTTTGGCTTGTTTTTATATTCCCATACCAAGATGAGGTAGCCCTTTGGGAGACAAGGCCAAGTGAAATTCACCTGCACCGAGAAAAGTACTCAACCGATTTGGGTAAAATTCCACCTGGGCTCAACAAGTTGTTGGATATTGTTATTTTTTTCGGGAAATAGGCCATGAATGCATTCATGCATGCAACTCCATTCACCGTCCTCCCGCAACTACTCGTAGCCGGCCATCAGTAGTAGGTGGACGTATTAGTTACCTGAACAAACATCATACCCGATTTTTTCGAAAATATTTTTTCCTATTTTGTAAAAACCTACTCAAACGTTTAGCAAGAAAGCATGTCACGAAACTATTTTTCTGTCTTTCCGAATTATGCAATGCGCTAGGGCGTCGAGCATTGAATGAGCCTGGATAGAATGCAAGATACGCTTTGTCCTCAAAACTGCTCTTCATGCAGAAAACCACTAAAAAGCACACACGCATTTTGGCAGCTGAAGTAATTTCTTATTTTTGTTGTTGTTGCTGTCGTTGTTATTATTATTATTGTTGTTGTTGTTGTTGAAACTGCATTCTCGACAAAGCAAGATGAAGTCAAAATGAGATCTTATTTTCATTTTCAAAGGAAACGTGAGACCTACTCATATGAATGTGGAATAATTCGACTACCAGTCCTTCATCACCTTAACCGAAGCATGATGAATACAAGTTCTACTGACATTCTCGAAACCTACTTTAAAAGCATAAAAAGATTTCTTTGCGACTTCATCTCATTTTAGAGGGAAACTGTCAAATGGAAAGAAGACAAAGAAATTCTTCTGCCTGGCCTAGTAATTGCTGCAAACAAGGGTAGATAAAACCCAACATGACGAGAAACCTAAAAGTGTCGACAAGGTATCGTCATTAGCAAGAGCATACCGATTTCCAGAACTTAATCAGTTCTATCTTGGATCCAGCCTTCCAGACTACAAAGGCTTGAGATGGATCTAAAAATCTAGCAAAACCTTAAACGATAAATTGTGTAGTA